CGAAAAAAAAACGCAGTGGTACCCTTCCTTACGTTTTTTTTTGGGCGAAAAATTAGTTTCTCCAATCTTCCCACCTTTCTGATAGAGGGCCATGAGACTTAGACCTGAGTGCAAAAATGGAGGCTCTAGCCCCTTCCAGAGCTGAGATATCGAAACTCAAAAATTCGGCCCGAAAAAAAAAGACAGTGGTACCCTTACGTTTTTTTTTTTGGGGCGAAAATTAAGTTTCTCCAATCTTCCCAAATTCTGATAGAGGGCCATGAGACTTAGACCTGAGTGCAAAAATGGAGGCTCTAGCCCCTTCCAGAGCTGAGATATCGAAACTCAAAATTCGGCCCGAAAAAAAACGACAGTGTACCCCTTACGTTTTTTTTTTTGGGCGAAAAATTAAGTTTCTCCAATCTTCCCAAATTCTGATAGAGGCTCTTAGACCTGAGTGCAAAAATGGAGGCTCTAGCCCCTTCCAGAGCTGAGATATCGGAACTCAAAAATTCGGCCCGAAAAAAAAACGACAGTGGTACCCCTTACGTTTTTTTTTTGGCGAAAAATTAAGTTTCTCCAATCTTCCCAAATTCTGATAGAGGGCCATGAGACTTAGACCTGAGTGCAAAAATGGAGGCTCTAGCCCCTTCCAGAGCTGAGATATCGAAACTCAAAATTCGGCCGGAAAAAAAAAACGACAGTGGTACCCCTTACGTTTTTTTTTTTGGGCGAAAAATTAAGTTTCTCCAATCTTCCCAAATTCTGATAGAGGGCCATGAGACTTAGACCTGAGTGCAAAAATGGAGGCTCTAGCCCCTTCCAGAGCTGAGATATCGAAACTCAAAATTCGGCCCGAAAAAAAAAACGACAGTGGTACCCCTTACGTTTTTTTTTTTGGGCGAAAAATTAAGTTTCTCCAATCTTCCCAAATTCTGATAGAGGGCCATGAGACTTAGACCTGAGTGCAAAAATGGAGGCTCTAGCCCCTTCCAGAGCTGAGATATCGAAACTCAAAAATTCGGCCCGAAAAAAAACGACAGTGGTACCCCTTACGTTTTTTTTTTGGGCGAAAAATTAAGTTTCTCCAATCTTCCCAAATTCTGATAGAGGGCCATGAGACTTAGACCTGAGTGCAAAAATGGAGGCTCTAGCCCCTTCCAGAGCTGAGATATCGAAACTCAAAAATTCGGCCCGAAAAAAAAACGACAGTGGTACCCCTTACGTTTTTTTTTTTGGGCGAAAAATTAAGTTTCTCCAATCTTCCCAAATTCTGATAGAGGGCCATGAGACTTAGACCTGAGTGCAAAAATGGAGGCTCTAGCCCCTTCCAGAGCTGAGATATCGAAACTCAAAAATTCGGCCCGAAAAAAAAAACGACAGTGGTACCCCTTACGTTTTTTTTTTGGGCGAAAAATTAAGTTTCTCCAATCTTCCCAAATTCTGATAGAGGGCCATGAGACTTAGACCTGAGTGCAAAAATGGAGGCTCTAGCCCCTTCCAGAGCTGAGATATCGAAACTCAAAAATTCGGCCCGAAAAAAAAACGACAGTGGTACCCCTTACGTTTTTTTTTTGGGCGAAAAATTAAGTTTCTCCAATCTTCCCAAATTCTGATAGAGGGCCATGAGACTTAGACCTGAGTGCAAAAATGGAGGCTCTAGCCCCTTCCAGAGCTGAGATATCGAAACTCAAAAATTCGGCCCGAAAAAAAAAACGACAGTGGTACCCCTTACGTTTTTTTTTTTGGGCGAAAAATTAAGTTTCTCCAATCTTCCCAAATTCTGATAGAGGGCCATGAGACTTAGACCTGAGTGCAAAAATGGAGGCTCTAGCCCCTTCCAGAGCTGAGATATCGAAACTCAAAAATTCGGCCCGAAAAAAAAAACGACAGTGGTACCCCTTACGTTTTTTTTTTGGGCGAAAAATTAAGTTTCTCCAATCTTCCCAAATTCTGATAGAGGGCCATGAGACTTAGACCTGAGTGCAAAAATGGAGGCTCTAGCCCCTTCCAGAGCTGAGATATCGAAACTCAAAAATTCGGCCCGAAAAAAAAAACGACAGTGGTACCCCTTACGTTTTTTTTTTTGGGCGAAAAATTAAGTTTCTCCAATCTTCCCAAATTCTGATAGAGGGCCATGAGACTTAGACCTGAGTGCAAAAATGGAGGCTCTAGCCCCTTCCAGAGCTGAGATATCGAAACTCAAAAATTCGGCCCGAAAAAAAAAACGACAGTGGTACCCCTTACGTTTTTTTTTTTGGGCGAAAAATTAAGTTTCTCCAATCTTCCCAAATTCTGATAGAGGGCCATGAGACTTAGACCTGAGTGCAAAAATGGAGGCTCTAGCCCCTTCCAGAGCTGAGATATCGAAACTCAAAAATTCGGCCCGAAAAAAAAACGACAGTGGTACCCCTTACGTTTTTTTTTTTGGGCGAAAAATTAAGTTTCTCCAATCTTCCCAAATTCTGATAGAGGGCCATGAGACTTAGACCTGAGTGCAAAAATGGAGGCTCTAGCCCCTTCCAGAGCTGAGATATCGAAACTCAAAAATTCGGCCCGAAAAAAAAACGACAGTGGTACCCCTTACGTTTTTTTTTTGGGCGAAAAATTAAGTTTCTCCAATCTTCCCAAATTCTGATAGAGGGCCATGAGACTTAGACCTGAGTGCAAAAATGGAGGCTCTAGCCCCTTCCAGAGCTGAGATATCGAAACTCAAAAATTCGGCCCGAAAAAAAAAACGACAGTGGTACCCCTTACGTTTTTTTTTTGGGCGAAAAATTAAGTTTCTCCAATCTTCCCAAATTCTGATAGAGGGCCATGAGACTTAGACCTGAGTGCAAAAATGGAGGCTCTAGCCCCTTCCAGAGCTGAGATATCGAAACTCAAAAATTCGGCCCGAAAAAAAAACGACAGTGGTACCCCTTACGTTTTTTTTTTTTGGGCGAAAAATTAAGTTTCTCCAATCTTCCCAAATTCTGATAGAGGGCCATGAGACTTAGACCTGAGTGCAAAAATGGAGGCTCTAGCCCCTTCCAGAGCTGAGATATCGAAACTCAAAAATTCGGCCCGAAAAAAAAAACGACAGTGGTACCCCTTACGTTTTTTTTTTGGGCGAAAAATTAAGTTTCTCCAATCTTCCCAAATTCTGATAGAGGGCCATGAGACTTAGACCTGAGTGCAAAAATGGAGGCTCTAGCCCCTTCCAGAGCTGAGATATCGAAACTCAAAAATTCGGCCCGAAAAAAAAAACGACAGTGGTACCCCTTACGTTTTTTTTTTGGGCGAAAAATTAAGTTTCTCCAATCTTCCCAAATTCTGATAGAGGGCCATGAGACTTAGACCTGAGTGCAAAAATGGAGGCTCTAGCCCCTTCCAGAGCTGAGATATCGAAACTCAAAAATTCGGCCCGAAAAAAAAAACGACAGTGGTACCCCTTACGTTTTTTTTTTTGGGCGAAAAATTAAGTTTCTCCAATCTTCCCAAATTCTGATAGAGGGCCATGAGACTTAGACCTGAGTGCAAAAATGGAGGCTCTAGCCCCTTCCAGAGCTGAGATATCGAAACTCAAAAATTCGGCCCGAAAAAAAAAACGACAGTGGTACCCCTTACGTTTTTTTTTTTGGGGCGAAAAATTAAGTTTCTCCAATCTTCCCAAATTCTGATAGAGGGCCATGAGACTTAGACCTGAGTGCAAAAATGGAGGCTCTAGCCCCTTCCAGAGCTGAGATATCGAAACTCAAAAATTCGGCCCGAAAAAAAAAACGACAGTGGTACCCCTTACGTTTTTTTTTTTGGGCGAAAAATTAAGTTTCTCCAATCTTCCCAAATTCTGATAGAGGGCCATGAGACTTAGACCTGAGTGCAAAAATGGAGGCTCTAGCCCCTTCCAGAGCTGAGATATCGAAACTCAAAAATTCGGCCCGAAAAAAAAACGACAGTGGTACCCCTTACGTTTTTTTTTTGGGCGAAAAATTAAGTTTCTCCAATCTTCCCAAATTCTGATAGAGGGCCATGAGACTTAGACCTGAGTGCAAAAATGGAGGCTCTAGCCCCTTCCAGAGCTGAGATATCGAAACTCAAAAATTCGGCCCGAAAAAAAAACGACAGTGGTACCCCTTACGTTTTTTTTTTTGGGCGAAAAATTAAGTTTCTCCAATCTTCCCAATTCTGATAGAGGGCCATGAGACTTAGACCTGAGTGCAAAAATGGAGGCTCTAGCCCCTTCCAGAGCTGAGATATCGAAACTCAAAAATTCGGCCCGAAAAAAAAACGACAGTGGTACCCCTTACGTTTTTTTTTTTGGGCGAAAAATTAAGTTTCTCCAATCTTCCCAAATTCTGATAGAGGGCCATGAGACTTAGACCTGAGTGCAAAAATGGAGGCTCTAGCCCTTCCAGAGCTGAGATATCGAAACTCAAAAATTCGGCCCGAAAAAAAAACGACAGTGGTACCCCTTACGTTTTTTTTTGGGGCGAAAAATTAAGTTTCTCCAATCTTCTCAAACTCTGGATTCTGATAGAG